CACTATTATTTCTTACTTCCTAGCCTGTTTTACCTGGTAGTGAAATACTAGCCATAAAGGTAACAAAAAACCTCTCTTGATCTGGAAGAGCCCCACACCCTGCATCAAGGTGCTCTGGAGTGTCACAAGGACCTCTCAAAGGTGCTAATGGAGAACTTTCAATATTCAAAGAAACAAAGTGATACTCTGCTCAACATCTCAAAAGCTACTAGCTCCAGGTGGTTCACAGCTTGAATTACATTATACTGTACTGTATTCCTTTTGATGTCACATATTTGCAAAGCTGTTTTTTTTACTGCAATATAATTAAAGTACAGTTAAAAACCAATGTAGAACAAGAAATGAGGGCGGCAATGTTGGATCTGACTCCAGTCTGAGAAGTTGGTGTAGTGAACAGGTGCACATTTCCCATTAGTAACTATGGTTACTGAAGAAATAAAATTACCTTTTTTGCTTTCAACTATGTGTATTATTTTTTCAAACAATTCACTAAGTTGTTAGGACATAAATACTTAGCTAGGTTGTCTGAATCTAATTACTATATAAATACAGTGGTGGATAGTCTTTTTGGCCTAAGGGCATCATGAAAAGATGAGAATGTTCGGGAACCTCTGATCCTGACTCAGACTGCATTTCCAAAATTAGCTAATTTTAAACTACACTCTTATGAATGTCTTCTTGCCAGTCACTTCTGCAGAAAATGCTTCTACCTTAATTTCAATAGAGGACATCCACTTTAGTGGAATATTTACCATCTAAACAAAGGAATCTCCCACCTCACTGGCAGGTGGCAGGAATATAGGAGTTAAAAGCAAGAGATCTGGAGACAGACTCTGGGCAGATTCCCTTACCTTACCTTTGCCTCAGTTGCCAAATGTAAAATGGGGACAATAAAGCCTACCTCAGAGTTACGGTTAAGATTTGCTGATAGTAATAGCCAAGGGCATTTTAATTCCATTCAAATTTTAAGTATCTGAAATACCTTTAACAGCTCTTGGCACATAAAACCTTCAATAAATGTTAGGTATTATTTTTATTTCTGTTCTTACTTTGAGCACATGACCGTTGGGATTCCCTGCTTTCATCTACTTGGAAATCAGGCCAGAGCCTGGCTAAGAATATGGTGCTAATGAGTCCACTGGTGGCAGAGATTAACTTCCTACCCAAGCAGGAAAAAAAGAAGATTGCTCCAAGCTCCTCGGCTACCATTTTCCTCTACGTGCACTCAGGTCTTCCGAGAGCAGATGGCTTGGTGCAGATTCACTTCGGAGAAGGGAAAACCAATCCAGAAACCTGGTATATCTCCTCCCAGGCACAAAAGGTAATGTTCAAACTGCTTATATTCATTCCTCTTTTGCCCATTTTGTTGTCAACAGCCTTGAAACCTATTTGCCTGCCCTGCCACTTTTCTGCAACTCATAAACCTCATTTGTTTCTACTTTTAGTCTCGGTCATTTCCAAGGTCACACACCCTTGACTCACAGAAGTCCGCTCCCGCTGTCCCCTGCTGGGCGGCCCCTCCCCGCCTGCCCGCCGAGACCCGCCCGTCCCCAGATGTTCAGCTGGCTCCCGGAGCCCCACACCTGGAGCATCTCCTGACAGAAGGCCCGCACCGAGCGCAGGGAGGCGAGGTCCAACTCCCTGACGACGAGCTCGCCAGCCCCACCGGCACTGGGGCCTGGCTCGGGGCCGCCGGCCTGGAGGAGCTCGCGGCGGAGCTGACCCGCCACCTCCTCGGCGCGCACGCGGTCCCGGCAGCCCATGATCACCCGCGCCCCCAAGCGCAGCAGCTCGGCGGCCGTGGCTCGGCCCAGGCCGCTGTTTGCCCCCGTGATCAGCACGGTCTTTCCGTGCATGAGGCCGGAGTCCCCGCCTCCGGGCAGCCGCTGTACGCTGAACCGCCGGGCCGCCAGCCACAGGGCCCCGCCTAGTGCAGCCAATACTGCCGCGAGGGTAGCCACAGCCATCGCAGCGGGGGACGAAGCGTCCACCGGCCCTTGGGCGCGACTTCCGGAGTCGCCGCGTTTCGCGAGCGGAGGCCTCCACCTGTACGCACAGAACTCTGGGGCGCGGCCTGCGGTCCCAGACGGGGCGGCGCAGGGCATGCTGGGACTTGTAGTTTTCCGCCGAGGGCGCTGATTGGTTGGGGGAGTACATCCCTCTGGGTCGCGGTACCTCGGTGGAGCCGGCTCCTAGCCGGAGAGGACGGTGAGCACAACCGCGAGTTTTCAACCTGCTGGGGTTCCTGCCCTTGGAATTATCATAGCGGTGGTGGTCTTCCCTGTGGGACTATCTAATGAATACTTTGAATTTACAAATCTCTATATAGGCTGGTTTACAAATTCCACGCTACGGGACTGGCTTAGTTTGTTTTCGTTAAGGACTCCCGGGACTTGTGAACCCTCACTTCAATTTAATTTCACCCTCCGGAGAATGGACCCGACCCAACCGAATTCGGAGGAATGGCTCTATTTTCGTTCACGGGGCCAAGAACTTAGCAACACCAATCAATTGGAAATGGAATGGGCGAGCGGTTCGCAAAGTTTTGCGTTGCAGCGGAATCACCTGCGGGGCTTGTAAAAACAACAGCAAAAAAGAAATTTCGGGGTCCCAGTACCCGAGTTTCGAATAAAGTAGGTAAGAGCTGGGACCTGGGAATTTACATTTCTAATAAGTTCCCAGGTGATTCTGCTGGTTCTCTGGGGACCACAGTTTGAGAACTGAAGACCATTATGGCATTGGTCCCTACAGAAAGAGTTAACCTCAAATTGTCTTATTTGACACTGGCAGAGTTAGAGTGGGAAAGCTTGGGCTTACTGTAAACAGACTTCCCAGCAGTCCAATTCACAAGTGCCTTTCCACCCCCTCCATGGGACTATTAAATGTAACAATGGAAGGGAAAGTGCTTTGTATTCCCTACAGTGCTTCAAAAATGTCAGTGGTTATATTGCCACAGGGACCAATCTTCAAGCTGCAAACTTAATAGCTTTGGACCAAGCTACTCTTGTCATTCATTCATTCGTCTACTCACCCATGTAATACGTGCCAGGCCGAGTGCCCTGTGAGAGTCACAGAGAAGTAGGACACCATTTCTGCCCTCAGGTAGTTCACTGTCTGGTACAGAGACCTGCCTGACTCAATGCCCATTCTAGAATCTTCAGGACAAGAGAACAGACACAGCTTTTGCATAACTGAAATAACTTGCTTAAAGATTTTGACTGTCCTTTGCTGGCTTCCATTTGGGAAGGACTAAACATGCAAAGAATACTAACACTACAAAGACAAGAGGAGTCAAATGCCAGAAGGTTCCTTATGTGTGGTGAGAATCAGAGGTGGGAAGGAGCACTATTATTAAGGCACAAGAACAAAAATCCCCAGGGCTGAGCCTTTATTCCACTCTATCTGTGATTTGAAGCTGCCTCTCAAACGTACTGAGCCTGGAGCACATCTATTTCCTCTTTCTTTCTATCTGTACATACCTTTCCTGTCTTTCAAAACCCACCTTAGTTCTTCCCATTTCCTGACTTCTTCCAGCCCATACAGATCTCAGCCTCGACCTCAGGTGTGACCCTCACTTGTCACGGGGGTCAAACTGCCCTCTAGTGTTGGCTCTTTGAGTTTGCACATCTGACTTCCTCTGGGATAAAGTTTTACCTTTCCGAAAGGATGGGATTATGTCTGAGTCTGTGGTCTTCAGATTGAAGAATGCATGGATAACAGCAGGTACACAATTAGTGTCGTGATTGGTTTATTTTGAACTGATTTATATCAAATTAGGCGGCAGATCAAAAGATATATGACAGCAGTAGTCTTTAACTAGACCTAGAGCTGAAATATGTGTATGTGGTTGTGGTAGAGATAGGGATGGGGGTAGAATCAGTAAGAGAGGGTGTGAAGAAGAGAGGAAGAGAATCTGCAGACCTGCTTTGTAACTTCTATTAGTTCAGGCACTAACTGGAATGACTAATCTGTTCAGGGTAGGTCCAATGGCATGGAACCAATAACTTGATTTGGAAGGTTGCATAACAGAAAAGAGACAGCATGTATCAACAGACCTGGATTTGAATCTTAGTCCCATCATTTATTAGCTGTACATCCTTGGATAAGATGCTTAATCTTTTTTAATCTTAGGCTCTTCATTGATAAAAAGGATGATAATAGCATGTCACAAATGTTTGGTTTAATGACAAAATGAGGTAAGATGAAAATAACCAGCTCACTGCACCTAACAAGTAGTAGATTATAGTTAATAACCAATCAATGTTTTTGGAAAAGAAAACAAAAATCACAACAGAATGACAGTGAAAGACCAGGATCCTATACTTTGTGTCACATTTTGAAGTGGTGGCCAAGGCTTCCCTTTCCCCATACAGACATTGGGCCTAACTGCCAGGCCCAAAGCCAGAGATTTCAAATATGAGGTTCTGTGGTCCAGTGGTGATGAACACACTAGATAAATTTCAAAGAACCCTTCCCAAGAGCTTTCTGTCTGGAGCTCATCTTAGATGGAAAGTGCCCTGTATGAATAACCAGCTGATTTATTTCTGAAATGAGCAGTGTCAAAATTGGTACGCCCATGCAGGTAGAGAGACATTTTCATTTTGCGTTGATTAAAAGGCTGGTCATAAGGGCAACATACTAAAAAGTTCTAATTTTCAAGAGTATACTTAATCCTACTCTTTCTACCTTTGAAGACCACCATTCTATAATTCATTCTATCTCCCAACATCAAAAAATGAGCAATCCTTTGTCAAACTAAATAGGCTTCTGAAATAACTCTTCAAGCATTCAGGCATTCAAATTCTAAATTTATTCTAAAGAGTCATTTAACTTGAAGGTTAACTTGAGGGTTTAAATGTTTTCAGAAAAATCAAGGGAAAAACATTCCAAATGGACCAAGTTCTGATGTCCAATCTTCAGAAATACCTGACTACCCTAGAGATCCACAAGAGGTGGCTTCTGTACTAGCAGACTGACTGCTTTATTTCTCCTCCCCATACCTAATTGTTCATTTTTTCATTAATTCCATAAGGTACATGAGCTGTGGTGGTGCCGAATTTCTGTGCCCCTTCAGTGTTGAACATGCGGTCATCAAAGAAGATGTGGGGCCTTATTTTCACCAAGATGGGATCTTTGGGAGCTCCAGCAAGGAAAAGAGCTTCATCTATCTCTAGACCCCAGTTGTGAAGGGTTTTCAGCACACGGGTTCCTGAACTGGCTGCACTGCTGGCTGTAATCAGGTAGGTCCTGATAGGACAAAGTAACCGCTCATCTTTGGCATAAAACTTCTTTTGCAGTCTGCCTAAATCTTCCAGAAAGCCTTTCAAGGGACCCTGCAAAAGGAACATATGTCACAGTTGTGATCTACTGTGCCGAAGGAACGGAATGCTAAAAAAGCCGAGCTTATGAAAGGATATAATACTGCAAATTGGCGGTGTTATAGGGCTAAGGGCGCAATACTGAAACTCCTTGCATTCATATTAACATATTTCTTTATATCCTTGCATTCGTGGAATAAATGTAGGGTTACCATACAAATTTAACATCTCAACACAGATATTTTAAAAGTGAAATAAATTTCTATGAAAGGTTAAATCAGGCAAAAGACAAACTATCCAAATGATAGCAAACGGGACACTAAATAAAATTCAGTCACAAAAAGCACTGCTTTTAATTAGCCTTTTGTGAATTGCACATTTTAACCTTATGAAGTATATGCCATTTTCTCACTCAGGGTTTTCTTCAGTCCAGCCTTGTGTTTTATTTTAATTATTTTGCATATCTTCCCATATTTATCTTTAGCCTCTCTGAACACTTAGTTGTAGCTGTATCTTTGGCACAGAGCATAGAACTTTATTTTGCTATGTGATCCAATCGGATAGTCTTAATTTTTGAAATGAAAGTTAAGTTTTAGGCCATTTATACTTACTGGTATTACAAATATATGTGATAATGGTTCTGCTTTATAATTTTATGACATTTTTGGGTTTAAAGATTTTAAAGGATTGTTCACTGAGTGTCCTTTTTCTTTGTGCACATGTGCATCTGTGTTTCTTCTAATATTTAAAAAGGTTTCTATTATTTCCTTTTATTCATTACCTTTATAACTAGAACTTTTATAGTACCCTCAATCCTCTATTTTTTAAAAATCCAATAACTACTATTTATTACATAAGAAATAATGAAATTAGGTTACCTCTTCACCTTTCTCTTTTCCTCTATTTCTTCTCACCATCCAATTTTATTTGTTTCATCTTTCTCAGTGTTTGCATTTGGATTATTAGAGATTCTTATATTTCTGTTTAACAGCTTTACATTTTATCCTTTGATCAGCTATTGTAACTAACGGTATCAGCATACTTACTTTTCCTTTGACCTTTTTCCTCCACATTTTCCCAGTTTTCATTAGTTACATAATTTCTGCATCATTAGGAAGATAATATGGGCTTTCTTTTTGCTGCCCTAATCCCTACAATTGTTTCAGTTGTATTTCTATGGCCAAATATATTCTGTGCCCTTTGGTGCCTTTGTGTTTCCTGTCATGTACATATTGGCTCTACCACTAGTCTTCTCATGAAAATGTTATGGAAATAATAATCTCTGAGAATGCAGTATGTTCTCAACTGTGGATCTATTTCCTTTTCACTTGAATGAATCTTTGGGTATAGAATTTATATTTTCTCTCCATATGATCTTGTAAGTAGTGCTCCACTGTCTTTTGCTATCAGGTGCTGTTGTGGAGAAGACTGCAGACAGCTCGAACTTTTCCCCCTACTCGTGTAAGCAGGCTGCCCATATAATCGCTTCTTCATCTTTGAAGTTAAATAATTTTACTACAGCACATCTCAGTGATGACCATGCTATTCTGTTTTTCTATTACATAATGTGGCCTTTAATCTTTTAACTGTTTAATGTATGAATTAACATTTTCTGATAATTCAGGATGTTTTCTTGATTTATGTTTTTTTATATAAATTTGTATTTTGTATATGCCACACAGAACTCTCTCCAGAAGATAATTTCACTGTTTTTCTTCAGGGATTACAATCATGCCTATGTTGGATTTGCTTTACCTGTGATCTATTATTTTTGCCATTTATTTTCCCCAAAATTTTCTTTTTCAATTCTAGTCATTTCCAGAGTTCTACACTTCAGTGTCTTATGATTTCCTCCTTGCCTTGTATTTTTTGCTTTGTGACCATCCTTTAAGTTTGAAAGTCATGAGAATTATTTAGTTACAATGTTCACCTATACTTTGGCTTATATTTCTAGTGAGAATTCTCATGTGTTATTAGATTTTGCTCTTTTTCTTTTTCATTGTATCTTTGCATATATTCTGTGCTGGTTCTTTTTTTATTATTCATCACTGAAGTAGATTGGTTTTTCTTCTAACAATAAGAGGGTTCCTGGGGAAAGTTAAAGGAGCATTTTAAGACTGACATTTTCACAATTCAAAAGCTCTTTTTTTTCTGCTGTCTTGCAAAAGATGTCTTTTTCTACAAATGTGGCTTACTTATGCACTTGTTTAGTATTTCTTTCTCTGAGGCTACATATATCAGGAAAAACATGCAAAAATATTAGTTGCTTAAGGTGAGAGGCATATACATAGGTGAAAAATCTGTAACTTTTTTTTTGTCAAAAACAGCAAAGGGAACGTAGTGACTGTTAGCAGGAGGCACTCCACTCATAGTTTGACTTTACAGCATAGAGGAACACAGTTCATCTTGCTTTGAGTAATTACCAAAGGGAATAATTAGGGACTGGTCAGTGTATGTCACCATATTTAAACCAGGTATCCATATCATCCTTTCTTTCTTCCATTTTTAGTATGTTTTATAATTTGTGTATCTGTGCAGTAGTACAAGAGTATAATTTGTCAATAAAAAACAGGAATATGAGGGTGAGTTATTCAAATATCTTTTTGAGGAATTGTATGATTTAAAATATGTGGAATCTTCCTAGGCAGTAGAAAGCTGGAAAGAATTTTACTCCTAACAATAAGAATAAGCCAGATAATCTAGTAAAAAGTTCAGGTAATTTTTAAAAGCAACTGGTAAAGTCCAAGTATGGTTTAATGAGAATACAAACCCTGGAAGCCACAGACAAAACAAATATACACTCCCATACAGGCTTTTCCCCTTATATGTACTTGCCTAGTTTTCTGTAAGAAACCCTGCAGGCAGGGTGAGAGATGAAAGAATGCAACCTTTGGTGCAGGCTTGGAGGGGAGGAAGCAACTACTGCTGTGAGGAAAGACTAAAACTCCACTTTGTCTCATGTCTCCTAAAAAACAAAAGTCTTAAACTGCTGGAAGAAGGGCTTCAGACACTGTTACTCCCAGGGCACTGGTAAAGATCTACTGCTATGGGTAAGGGAAGGGGAAAACCTTCAACCACTGGGAAAGGGACAGGAGACTTACACACCCAGCCCAGTGGATATCTCCTGTCACTGGGGAAAAGGCAAGATCAATGTAAAATTTCTTCCTTAAAACCTAGGAAGATACAGTTTGTCTGAGATTTAGGCTAAGCGAGGACAACAGAAAATGCCCTTCCCCATGACCTCACCAAACTGTTCTGCAGAGACAACCAGCAATAGTTGAGAGAGGGATAACAACATGGAGACCATCTGTGAAGTGTGGACACAAAGGAGAGGCCTAAAACTGAAAGTAGAAGAGGAATACCGTGAAGAACCTTCTTGCACCCTACCAGAGGAATTTGAAGTCTGGGGTGAAATGAAGGTAACAACAGAAACAACAAAATGCCTACTTAGTCAAACTCCTGATTTGATTAATTCAATCCTTTTACTAATTGGTAGCAGAATAGGAGGCATAACTATTATCAGGCAAAATAACTAATTATCAAGTATCTACAGTCTACACACTATGATTGGAAATTAAAGCATTATGACATTGAATAAAACAAACAAAAAGAGCAAACAACCTTGAAAAGAAAGTAACTAACAGAAGAAAACTCAGTGATTACTTAGAGGTTGTAAATACAAGAGAGGGAATTGCAGAGAACTGAATTCCCTAGTTCAGTTATGATACCATTATCATAACTGTTTTGGAATGTGGAGAACATATGAGTAGACTAGTAATTTCAGCAAAGAAATGGAAAAATAAGAATTGAATGTATCGTAACTGTTTTGGAAGGTGGAGAACATATGAGTGGACTAGTAATTTCAGCAAAGAAATGGAAAAATAAGAATTGAATGGAAATGTTAGAAATACAAATTAAAGTACAGAAATGAAGAATGCTTTTGATGGATTTATTAGTACAGTCAATGCTGAGGAAGAAATCAGTGGACTTGAAAATAGGTCAGCAGAAATTACCTTAATGGAAAATAAATAGGAAAAATAGTGGGGAAAAAATAGCAGGGCATTGAAATCCTGTGGAACCCCTTTCCCCCCAACACACTATATTAAACTGCTAAAACACAGAGAAATATAGAAAATCTTGAAGGCAGTCAGAGAAAAATAGACACATTTTATACAGAAATCCAAAGATGGGATCTCAAACCATTTGTTTTCAGAATCTATGCAAGTCAAAGATAGTGGATGGGTATCTTTAAAGTGCTGAAAGTAAAATATGGTAAATTCAGAAAACTATATCCAATCAAAATAAAGTATTTTTTAAAAATGAAGGAGAATAAAGATTTTCAGGAAAAGAAAAAGCAAAGCCTTTTGGCAACAGCATATCAATTCCACATGAAATGTTAAAAGATGGTCTTCTGGCAATGATTGCAATGAATCGGAGGTGAGGAATTGATAATATGCCTGAATGTGGAAACCAGAATGTTGTTCATGTGAAACCTTCATAAGAGTGTAGATCAGTGACTCTACTAATAGAAAAAAGATGGTCTTCTGGCAAAAGGAATATGATTCCATGGAGAAACTTGGATCTACACAAAGAAGTGAAGATCCCTAGAAATGGTTAAAATGAAAATGAATACAAAAGACATATTTTTTTCTTATTTATTCTAAAGATATTGTTTCACCAAATAAAAAATAATAGCCAGGTTTTGTGAGTTTATGGTATAGGTAGAAGTTAAATGTATGACAACACTGAATATGGGAGGGAGGGATTGAGAGTATACTGTTGCAAGGTTCTCACATTATCCATGATGCAACATAATACTGTTTGAAAGAAGACTGTAATTATTTAAAGTTGTATACTGTAAATCCTAGGGTAACCCTAAAAAACAGTTAAAAGTCAGTAGTAGAAATAAAATGGAATCCTAAAAACACAATACATACAATAAATTCAAAAGCAAAAGGTAAGGGAAAAGAAAGAATGGATGGAATATATAGAAAAAAGTAGGAAGATGGTAGATT